TAGCTATTCGACAATCATTTGTTGTTCCAATGCCTGCTTATTTCGATTTGGAAGATCTTAAGTATTCATTCAAAATTGCGTTGCCTTCATCAAGTCCTAATGAATTGTTTGAATCTATTGAAAAACCAGGTATAATCCATTTAAATAACTAATGTACTTGATTGTTGTACGTATAATTCGAAAGCGAAAATAGACACAGACTTTCACTTTTCAATTGTCAAAGAAGGACCATTTATTTTATTCCGTACATTAATCAAACAGTGATCATTCCTCGAAGGAATTATATTGGAAAAATTTTTCGAATCTTTTTCTGCGGTATACAAGTCCTCATCCGCGATTTTTGAAACCAACCGACTAACTAGTACTCATGTTAAAACTGGTCGATTAGTCATGTTTGTAATTCATCTGAAAGCAATATGAAATTACTGCATCAAGTTTTAGGAAAATCTTTCGCTCAAGAACAAAAAAATAAAATCTTATTGAATACTATGAGTCACAGAGTTTACTAGAATAGAACAAAACGAATAAACAACAAAGAAAAATCGAACTCATCATTTCAGACAAGGAAGAAAAATGAATCGAATATCTTCTGATCTAGGTGAACTTCAATAGATTCTAATGAATTTGGATAGATTCTTCATTCTCTAAATCTAAAGGAAAATATTAGAACCCACGCATGTTTTTGACTGCATATCCTACTGAGATTCGTTGATCTCCACTTTGTCTTGATGACATTTGTTACAGCCATGTATCACTCCTTGACTCATTGGTATTTGTTTATTCATTTCGCATTCTTTGATGCTTTATTTCTCTCTATATATCTCTCTCTATACTCGCTTAAGAGGGAATTCAATCTCGAAATAAAACGAACATCAAGAAGGAACTGGGGTAGTCTTAATAGCTTTCAATAAATTTTTGTAATCTCGGACGAAGTCTATTACATTCTGATAAATTCTAATGGACTTCTGTATTAAGCAGCAATATTTTTATTACCGATTTTATTAGAATTCTGGAGTTGCTTGTTTCCTATGCGAATGTTGCTGAACCTGCCACACTTAAAATTTTTATCAAGTGACATCAAAACTTTGAAAAATGAAAAGAAGCATCATCAATTTCCTTACTTTGTTGAATGCACTCCATGTCGAACTATTTAATATTAGTAATTAATATTGACCTATTTTTGACGAACTATTAATTTAATGTGTGCTTGTTTTAAGCGGTTTTCATTCTTTATTTTGACAGATATAGATATTCTTGTTCAAGAACATTTAAATGTTCTTGTTCGTCTCTATTCAATTATTCAAAACTATCTCGCTGATGCAAACCGTCTTCAATTAGATGCATATCCATTGCCTAACATTACTCCAATAAATAGTTCTCATCCACATATTCGTCGTTTAATATTTTTACGCCAATATGAAATGTTATATTCTTTACGATTAATACAACAAACACGATTTGATATAAATGAACCACCGATTATTATTCGAATCATAGATAAAAAACCGATTGATAAATACAATAATTTATGGAAATGTCAAATTGAACGTGGCCAAGAGATAATTTCAAAAAACTTAACTGAAAATGTGACAAATACAAGTGATTTTCGTACATATCCATATTTAATTTCTGAAGATATTTATACAATTCGAACATTTCCTGATGCTATTTATATGGACTTAGCTATTGATGGCGTTCCTTCTCATAGGAAATTTGATCGGTGTGGTTTAGCTCATGTTGAACTAAAAGAAGAAGAAGAATCAATATTTATTCGAGTTAAACTCTGTAATCTTTCTCTTGAAATTAATCATCAATATTATTTAAGTGAACGTTATGTAGATTTCAATACTAAAAAAGCTATACAAGCGTTAGAACAAGCAACTACATTGACAACACAAATATTAGATGACCCAAGACAATTAACAAAACCTGAAGCAGTTCAAAAAGCAAATGAAACAATGCAACGAGAAATATTAAATATGTTTTCAAAAAGAGAACCTTCAATTAAACCTGAACAATTACATACCCTTAATAGAGCACAGCAATTAGCATGTGAAAAAGTTAAAAATGAACGTGTAACACTCATTTGGGGACCTCCAGGTACGAACACTAATCTTTTTGTTTGGCTACAGACCTGCAGCCTAGAAAAATTTTCACGATCTATTTCTCAGTCGGACAATTTTGATTTTTGAAATACATCTAAACAATTCATATTTCTTCAGCGATTAAAATCAATCATTTTTTCCCATTGAAAAACATTTGAGTTCATAATATTATCCACAACATTTCGATGAATTGAGAAGTATCATTGTAGTAAGTTTTGTCCATTTGAAAAAAATTTTTAAGTATTTTGTACTCAGAAAAAAATAATAGTTATTACAGCAAAAATACATGTGCAGGATATTTAAGCGAGATATTGTTACTATTTCAATGGATTAATATTGTTGAATTGTTGTCTTAAACTATAGCATATCGAAAGCTAATTGTTAGTATTTTAGATTTTCTATTCTGATTTCAATCAATTGTTAGGCACTTTCATTTTTGTATAATTTTTTATAGGTACTGGTAAAACATTTTGGTCAAGTGTAACTGCTTTTCAAATGTTAATGTTTTCATCTTCTCCATTAAGTATACTAATTACAGCCTGTACTCATACAGCCATTGATAATCTTCTTTCATCAATAAATCATTTAAAAAAACTTTTTTCTTTATCACCACAATTTCCGCAATGGTACCAATTAGCTCAAGGATTAATCGTATTAAAAATTGATTCAAATAATTATCGTGATCTTTCATCTTTATACGGAAAACGTTCTGTAGTTGTTGGTTCAACAGTATGGACATTACAAAAACTTGATCGTTCAATTGTTTTCGATGTTATTTTTATTGATGAAGCAACACAAGTATTAACAAGTGATGCTGTTTTAGCTATAAATCGTTTAGCTGATCATAAAGAATCACGATTAATTGTAGCTGGTGATCCATTACAATTACCACCTGTTAAACGTTGTGTTTATCCATCTTTACCTCATCCTATACCTGATTTATTTTCATCTATTTTTCATTGTTTATTACGTGATCGAAATAATATTCCAATATCATTATATACAGAAAGACCATTTGAACAAATCTCCTGTTGTCCATATTTATCTATTTTTGATGAAAACCATCGTAGGTTTTATTTTTATTATTATTTTATTTTTTTTGGTTATTCATTTATCTTTTAGGTATGAATGATGAATTATCAGATTTTACTCGTCTTTTATATGGTGAAAATTATCGCCAAAGTCGTTCGACACCTTTACTTTCTATTCGTTCAATTGACGATTCGAATACATATATTCTTGGTTCTCTTCTTCAACCACATAGTTCACTTTATACACTTCTTATTGATTCGTCATCGTCTTCATGTTCAACTCTCAGTGAAGATCTTGATCTTGAATCGCGTCTTGTTCATTCTCTTATTAAAGAACTTGTCTCACGTATATCTATCTCATCAATATTTATAATAACTCCACATCGAATGCAACGCTCTATTATTCGACAAAAACTTTTGAAAAATCCATTGTCAAATGTTTTAATAACATATGATACTGTTGAAAGAATGCAAGGAAAAGAAGCTCAATGTATTATACTTTGTATGCTATATAGACAACGTGAAATGCTTGAAAATGAATTGGATTTTATTTATAATCGGCAACGCATTAATGTTAGCATAACTCGTGCGAAACAATTATGTATTCTTATAACATCACAATTATTATATAATCAACCACCATTAGAATTATTTGTTAATGGAAATACAAGAAACGCTTATACTTTATTAAGTAATTATGTTAATAAATCGACTATACGATTATTGGATAATCATGGCAATATCAAATAATTATAGGTTTCAATTGAAAAAAATTATGATCAAATTTTTTTTTTGATGTTTCTAATGCTTAAATACAATTTATATAATGTACTTTAGTGACTCTTTTGACACTTAAATCTTGAAGAACAACATATCGTGAAAGTACACATGCATTTTATAATTGATCAGAGTGAACCGTTAACAATTACTAAAAGTTTAACTAGAAAAAAACTTCATATACAGTTCAAAATAAAATTTGAATTGGTGTTTATTCTAAAATATATACGTCTTTAGTCTCTGATCAGGATATAATCGACACTGTTTTTCACACATAGATCCCACCTAAATTGTTTATGCTTTCTATCTCTATGTAAAGGAAATTTTGACTTTGTATAGAAGAAACTTTTCTAGAGTAAATTGTATTGTGCCTTTTATTCTTAGTAAAGTAGATATGTATGTACAGCTTATGGGTATTATACTGAATTATAATGCAGTTCTCACAGTAGAGAGAACATGTTTTGTCATGTTTAGTCTTTTACATATATACATTAAACAAGAGATGCATCCAATAGAGTTTTTGTTTTTGGTAATTTGAATCGACGACATAAAACTATTTCAAGATCAGAATTGGAAACGCTAAATACCATTACCACTTCAAATCCGAACAATGATAGTGAGGAAGAGTTAAAAATGGATATAGCTGTTCAAATAAAATTGTGATAAAAACATATAATCGTACGTCAATCATTTCATTCAGAAAAAGCTCAACAATATCCAGAATTGTTGTTTTGATTTTTCTATGGTTTCTACTATTCATTTCAGTATCTTGCGAAGGGTGACGATAACGAGAGCTGACTCCTTCGAGCGAATTTTTTTTTGATTTTCTTTGCATGAATAATTTAACATCAAAAAATAAGTTTAGTGGTCTAGATTACAATAACCATATACCTAATTCGAAAGACAAAAAACGTGCACATTTCACTATATTCCATGATAATTTATTTAGTTTGAACGAAAAAAAAAGATATGCTGATTAATAAAATGATTAATAATATTTAAAAGTAACATTTTTCATTAAAAATAATCTCCACTCCCCAAAAATTTAGTATATAAGTCTTTAATGTTCATTGATAATATTTTGCTTTCATTTATGTGGAACTCCATCGGGACACACATTGCAGTTGCATGATTGAATACGTCGAATATCTACTGTTCTTTGTACCGTTACATTTTGCGTATCATTAACAACACAATCAAAAACAATTGGTTGTAAATATGTTTTTGCAACTGAGCAACAAGTACATTGATCACTACTATCAGATTCACAATATCCACTACATCGTTCTCGAGGAACACTTTCACGTGATACACATTGATTATTATTCATTCGTAATGGAGCACTATCATATCGACGTACTGAACAACTGTCACGACATATATTACAACTGCATGATTGTATACGTCGAATGTTTATTGTCTTCTCTTCTGTGTTTGTTTTTGAGCCATTAACAAAACAATCAAAAAGAACCGGTTGTAAATATGTTGTTCCAATTGAACAACATTTACATTGCTCGTCACTATCCGATTCACAATAACCACCACAACGTTCTCGAGGAAAGCTTTCACGAGATATACATTGACCGTTGTTAGCTTTTAATCGCGCATATTCATATTGTTGCATTGTACATTCTGCAGTATTTGTTGTTGATGTTGTTGGTAATATTGTTGTTGTTATACATTGATTATCCGATAATTTCAAACCATCAGCTGTACAATAAACAATATAACAATTATCTTGTGTGCGAATAATAGTGCCTTGATCAACAGTATCATTAATATAAACAACCTTTTGTAACTTAGTAGTATCATTTGAATATGTATAAATATAACCAATTTCTTCTACAAAGAAAAATAAATCTGTCCTTAGGCCGTGTTTCTTGTATTTACACTTACTGCTATCAGATGGTTTTCCCTGAAATACACGCACATAAAATGCATCATCGAGTAAACATTGACAACGACGATCCATACAAGATTCATGTTGAACCAATTGTTCTTCATGACAGTCGTGCGTTGAATTTGCATTACGAGTACGTGTTTTGTATCCAATACCACATGTACGACTACATGGTGTCCATTCAGACCATTCTGTTAGAGTACATGGTGTACTTGTTGTAGTTGTTTCAGTTACTATAGAAAATAATGTCATAAATAAAAAAAAACAAATAACAGTGTTATTATTCATACCGAGAGGTGAACAAGCAAAAATCTCAAGATGAAGATTTTCAATGTTACCATTTGGAGTTAAACGAATCTTCGTAGCATTTAGAGTTCTTGGAAATATAATTTCATTGTTTGTCAAAACAATTGACTATCAGAAATATACAAAATAGATTGGCTTTCCTATTATTCTACGTAGTACATACATTATTGTAGGCTATCCAATGTGGAAATACTTCCGTTGCTGATTGATAGTATAAATGCCATTCTTTGAGATTATCCGCTGTTATATGAATTCGACCAATCTATAAATAAATATATATGTGTTCAATCAAATTGTTAGCTCTTTTGCACATTCATATACCTCCACAGAATAACGAAAATCAATATTGAGTGATGAAAATGCAGACGATGGTGTCCATCCAGTGTTATTTGATCGGATAATGTATCCAACGACCTTTGTCTCTGCTTTTGTTGTCTCGGTAATTGATTCAGCTTCAACTAGACCTAACTCTTCAGCAAGTATATTTTCTGTTTGACATAGTGCTGGAACACTTGAGGTTGTTGTTGTTGTTGTTCCATTAACAGTTTTGTCAGTTGTTACTACAAATTTTTTCCTGATAAGTAGGTTCTTCGAAATTCTACATCAACTTACTGGTAGACAAATCAGAAGTGCTAGAAGGAGTTGTGTAGTTCTCTAAATTAGAAGATGATTATAAACTACGAAGAAGACTTAAATTCACTTCCAGCAACTTTATTAAATATTCCTCTAGCACATCTCTCAAGGTATGTCAATGCCTAAAAACGGAATGTGTCTACTTCAAACAGTTCATGCGTCATTCAGTTGTATCGCCTTGTCTTTAGCATCTTCGATTAAATACAATCATTAATGCAAAACAATCAAAATAAAAACGTTCCGGAACCCTTCTTCAGACTTCCAACCGCGGTTCTGCAGAATAAACCAGAGATGGACGAGCTGCGGTGTAAAACCGCCCCGTCCCGGCCCGCCTCGCCCCGCCGGTGTGGCGGTGCTAAAACTTGACGGGGCGGGGCGGTGACGGTGCATGACGAAATTTCGCGGTTTCCCCGCCTTTGTATAACCTTGATTTCTTAAATATACTCAGACCTTTAGAGACATCTTTTAAAACTTTAAAAATTTTTTCACACTAAACTAATCAGTAAAAAAAACTTGTTAGCGCAGCTCCAGAGGAGCTAAAACGTGGAACTCATATACATTTTTTTTATTTTTTGTCCTGATGCCTAATTTTTAAATTGTAAAATACCTTTTTTCCGAATACGTATGAAATCATTGATATATTATATGAAAACTAGAGCCTTTTATGCGCTGTTGCTGAGGTCTATCATGGTGGTGGTCAGGGTTGCCAGACCGAAAAATCAAAAGTCAGAAAAATTTTTCTAAAAATCGGGAAAATGTCGGAATTTTTGTTCTCGAAATCGGAAGAAAATCAGAAACTATTTTTCCATGCTTAAATAACTAGTCTATATATTTTCGATAGCTTCCATATCCTTTATCTTGCTTCTGTTCATCTTTTCGAAGCAATATCGGAAATAATATTTCACAAAGAATTAAAGAAAATATCGATTACACAATTTACTCATGATTAAGAAATCTACATAAGTCATTTGAACAGAATCACATTATTTTTATCAAAAATGCTATAACCAACTTAACGAAACAATAGAATCAGCATTGTAAATTCATACACACACAAGCATTTCACAAAATTTGCGCAAAAGAAACTAAGACTTATTCTGTATAATGTTCGTTTTTGTTCATACTTTTTTATTAGCTCGAATGCTCTTCAAAATATCAGGTTGAGGTAACAGATATTCATAAAAATGTCCACAAGTATAAACAGAATTCATTCCGATTTTCAATTCTGCGACAGCTAAATTAGTACCCATACGATTATGATTAGTTTTATTATATCTGTGATGAAACAAAAAAGCTCAAAAACGAAAATATTCTTAATTATCAGTATAGTAAACGAACAGAGAAAGTTAGTTCATCGTGATAGAAAACTGGATCTTAATTGTCTGTAAAACATCATAGTTTTATTGGAGGATATGCTTTCAAATCACTGCACTGTGGTTTGTTGACCTCATGACGCTTCACTACCTGATAATTATGGTGAAATAGGTCGCAATATATGTGTGGTATCGCGTCATGGTTAAATTATTCTGGAATGTCCTAAGAACATGAATTCACAAACAATACTTCGAAAACCGGAGGAAAATTAGGAAATCTGAAGGCAATCGGAAAAATATATTAAAATCGGAACGTCGGAAAGTCGTTGAAGAAACTTTCAAAAAATCGGAATTTTTCCTGCCTTATCGGAATACCTGGCAACCCTGGGTGGGGTGTCTGTAATGCAGTGGAAGAAAGGGGAGAGTCGCCAAACCTCGAACTTAAAACTTACAACCATTATTTTCTTCGAAAATATACGTGAGTTCCACAAAATGAGTGGTTGTATTATAACTGCCTTTCATTTTCAAATGCTTATTTCTTACTATTTCGGAACGATGTTTATGCATTTAAAATATGCCTCTTCACCTCATGAAATGCAATAACCATTATGAAAATTTAATGAAAAATTTGTCAAGAAATAGTTCTTGAAAACATATTTTGGACGGGGCGGTGCGGAACGTTATCAACGGGGCGGGACGGGGCGGTGACGGTGCCACTTTTCTGCTGACTCGTCCATCTCCGGAATAAACTACCCAAACCGATCATTATTACCATAATAACCGTCCATTCAAAACAATAACAGCAAAACCATAAGCTCCTCATAAATCAAACAATAGGCACATCATCAAAATAGAAGGCGCGTCTAAGACCAATGAAAAGAAGCATATATTCAACTCATATCTTACTCACGAAATCCTCATCAAACATGAAGCACGTCTCAACAACAGCAAAAACTAACACATTATCCATCGTGGCTCAGAAAACCCAATCATTCCAAATAAAACGCTCATCGTTCAATTACAACATCCAAAATGCCCCATATTACATATTTCAAAGCAGCACACTCTGGATCAATGCAGTTCAATTTCGAACATGACGTAATATATACCTCAACATTCATCCACTCCATCGCATGGCAACCGAGAAGCATATGACAGTTACCCGCGACATAAAAATATTATCGAGCACATGTAAGGAAATCTACTTTTCCATCTACAACGCAAAATGATCCATGAGAAATTAATATAATACCCTACCAATTCCCTATTTCTTCTGATACAACTTAAAGAACATACACTTTCGATGATTTCAACTTATCTCAATCAAAATCAACATAAAAACACCTAAAAACACTTGCATCAGGACTAAAAAACTAACAAAACTACTTAGAAAACCCAAAAACCCAATAAAAACCATAAAAACCAACCTGTTGTGGCTTCCGTACAAGCTTTAATATCCAAAACAACACCT